AAAAAAAAAAAATCTCCACCAGCGGTATCTACTGTTGACAAAAAATACTTTGGCCCATTGATTTGTAAGGTGTATGTTTGTTTGGTAAATACAAATAAAAGGTTCACGCTTATCGCCTTTTTCAACGTAAACTCTATCTTTTACAGTTTCAAAGCCACTCTCCTTTATTGTACCATCAAGACTGACGAAGAGCCGTTTGCAGTTTCAATTGTACAGGCCAAAGACCCGTGTTCAGCCCCACACAATGTTTTAAGAATCCAGGATGCTAGTTTTCCAGACGACAAGAACGTAACTGTTGCCGTATGCGTTAAGCCTCTTTACGGAAATTATGGTGGCTTTAATAGGACTGCAAGATTGGTTGAATTTATTGAAGTTTATAAAATGCTTGGTGCAGGCTTTTTCACTATGTATGCTTTTGATCTAAATTTCAACGTAACTTATCCTATTTTAAAATATTACAAGCAAGAAAAGCGACTCTCCATTATACCGTGGCACGCACCGCCAAACCTGAAACAATTTGTCAATTATCCAAAGAGATGGTACAGAGATATTGGGCAAACCATAGCCCAAACTGACTGTCTTTACAGAAGTATGAGGAAGTACTCTCACGTAGCCATGGTAGACATTGATGAATTTCTCATTCCAAGATCCAACATGACTTTCCAAAAACTATTCAGTGTGTTACCAAAACATCAAGGAGTGTATACATTTCGGAACAGGTTTTTCCGGGTGGACAATAGCCCCCAAAGGCTCTCTGCTGCTTTCAAGGATTCAAGGATTCGAAAATACCGACCAAAAACTATTATAGCTACCCGTGGAATGCGAGCTATAGATAAAAGACGGAAGTACATTGCTCTTGCAAAGGGCGTATGGGGTGCTTTGACACACCGCACAAAATTAAATCATGGTTACAAAGACTATGTGGTACCAGTGGAACTAGGGGCTATGCATCATTATCGAGACTATATTAAAAGACAGGCTGGAGAATTTGATCCATATATGTTATCATATAAAGAGGAAATACTGCAAAGGATGGAATATGTGTTCAATGAAACAAAGGCGCTGGTAGTACACTAACTTTGGCATGCATATCTGGTGTAGGTATAATAAGGTATTACATTTATCCTATGTGTGGTGTGGGTTTTCCATGGCGGTGGGCCGCATAGGAACCCTCTAAAGGTCTATATTAACCCAATTATTATTGTGGAAATAATTCATCAATCAGTTGAGCTGTCTTCAGTAACGTAAACACCAGAAGCATGTTAGTATTATGAGGATGTTTTAATGAATGGACCCATTTGGAGCTCAATACTATCATTGGGCTATAGAGACAATGGGCATTTTAATTTTAAATTTTAAAGTTTCAAATATTCCAAAACAGAGAATCGAAAATTAGCCTACTTAGAATTTATTTTATGACTTTCTTGGTAGTTTCGTCATTTTAAATAGCCCGATTGGGGCTACGGGAAATCAATTACATGTTCGGCGATTTAATCCTAAATTGAAGTATGACTATTGCTACTAGTTCTAACGCTGCCAACAGAGATTACTTACCGGTAAACTGAGAAATTCAGGGTGGTTAAAAGATGAAGAGTAAGATAAAAAAAAATGTTGCCTTATATAAAGCTGTTTGTACGGGGGATGCACAGAATGGGGAATTGTTATAAGATCAAATGACCAAGATCCTGATAATCTGCCATTTTTTCTTTGTCACCTTTGCCTACCTGTAAGTTGTGCAGGTATCTACGTGAAAATTCACCCTAATTCAAGGATGGAAGTTAAGCCTAGATAATATTTACACGGGCGCTGTGCGATGAAATTGTCTTTACGTTTTTTTCGGTCTACGCCGAGTATGTCTACATTACATAGCCTTAAATCCGTACGATTCCGTTCGATTTCGCACGGCTAGAGTCTACATGTACCTCCGTTCAGACGCCATACGAAAAGGGGTATTACGGGCAGTATAATTGCACCGTACGGGCATCACATTTTAAATGTAATCTAGGTTTTAATCATAAGCTTCCATGGTCCTTGGCGGCCAAAGACTTACTGTAGAGAGAAAAAAGTGGATAACAGAAAAGGACCCGGGGGCCAATTAAAGCGAAGCCAGACACTGACAATCCTGGCCTCGAGAAATATAATTATAAAAGATGTGCACACAATAACATTCAGGTGCACAATAGCATTTATGTAGCCAAATGTTCACAAGCACAACGAAGCTCTGTTTTTGCTCCAAATTAAGTAGGATAAGTCCATATGACTGAAATTGTCATTTATTAATGACGAAAACTAATAAGATACAAAGTTACAAAACTGGGGAGATAATAAACATCCCCCAAACTATGTAAGTGCTAAATATAAAAATTATAAAGTATGTTAATGAAATGTAACCAGGATTAATTATGAAAAATATGAGAAATCACAACAGCTATAGGAGCAAAAAGTTGGCGCAAATGAAAGTGCATCTAATAGATAGATCATCAGAGACGTTTCATATATTTGTATAAGCATTTATTACCAGCCTCCCTTACACTATACCCCTACATAAGCACGTTGACTGTGAAGTTACTATTACCGTACCCCACTAAAACACTGTACAAAACCACTCTGCTTTACAACACGTTTGTAACTTACTGGCGCACCCTGTGGTCAGAGAGTACTACTATCGTCTCCAATGCGGTCTGTTAGCTCAAGTAGGAAAAATAAATAAAGGCGATACATTAAAGGTATACGTATTTTGATTCCCTAATTTTAGATACCTCTGAAGTGTAAATACTCTGACAAGTGAAAAGTGAAGGTTTAATGAAGAGTTTACTCGCACATTTTAAGGAAGCACTTCTACTTTGATTGCATATATATTTATCATTCACCTTACAAACGTCAACGTCATCATTGCGCCAAATTCGCAAATTCGGATTAAATGATTAAAACCACAGAGCGCTGGTTCAACTGAAGCATTGGTAGTTACATTCTTACTGAAAATAAAAGAAAAAAAAACGAATATACGGCTACTTATTAGACTATATACGTGTTAATCGTCCGTTATAACTGAATTAAACATATATATATATCCGTGGCCAAGATTTTGCTGATAGGGAAGGGTAAAGCCAGGAACAGAGGGTGAGCAACAATTTGCTTGGTATAGCAGAGTACGTTTGCAGGTAAAATATTTACAGAGAAGCCAAAGCTTGTATTCTCCTAAAAACTGCTATATTTTCTGTATAACTTCCTCCTCCATTCTGGATTTTTAACTTTATCACATACATATGCCAGTGCTTGTCTCCTAAAAACTATGTACGTTGCCAAAATAAGTACTTCTTTGTCTCATATGTGTATTTTACTAATATTTGCGAAATAACATGAAACTTCATCGAAATTGTTTTAAAAGGGATACCAAAAACCAAAAACCCACAAATTGAAGGGACGTGATGTCATTTCATTTTCCCCAGTGCCCTGGCCCCATCAGTGTGGACGGTGGTTCCCGAGCTGTTTAGTTCATTTATTCGCGTTTCATGATGTAAAGCTCGTAGTCAGGTGATTCCCGAGCGTTCCGGTGGGCGCGGAGAACTCGTACTGCTGAACCATCGAGGTCAGGAAGAGAAAAAATTCAATCCTGGCCAACTGCTCACCAAGGCAGGCACGGGGACCTACAATGAATTTTGTAAAAGCAAGACGCAAAACATCTCCGGATCTTAAGTTAGATATAAAGATTTTAATCCGTGAGCTTTTCTCTAATTACCAATTAACTATAAATATAAATGTAGTCGTATAACTATAAATATAATATATACGACCAGTTGAATATAGAAATTCCTATCAGCGATTGTTAAAGACAATGCATGGTATACAGTGCATGGTATACCATGACAGGGTAATAACTCAGCAATTTACCTCTATCACCATGGCATAAGTGTATCCAAAACCCTTTCGATGATGACTTAAAAGCTAGAAACTTTCAATTAAAAAATGTGATAGGATTGAAAATATATATACATATACCTTGGTGATTAAGGGGAATATGTTGAAATCTCCAGAATACATTATTTATAATTTTTTATCTATACATATTAAAAGTATTTACAGACATCGTGAGCCTTTTAAAAATGCAAAACCAATAACTTAAACACTTCGAGTCCATCCTACAAGAACCCACATACCTAGGAAGAAGGGGAGAAACGCTTTACTGGGCTAGTAGAATTCGCCAGCCTTGTTGATCCACCTCTCAGGTCGAAACTCCTCGGGTTCGGGCCACTCCTTGGGGTCCATGTGAACCGAGTAGATGTTCGCCGTGCAGACAGTGCGTTTTGGTATTACGTACCCACACAACTCCACTTCATCTTGGGTCACGTGGGGGACGGATGTAGGTGCTGGAGAGAACGAGAAAAATACTGGTTTTCACTGTCTGAGAAGTTGTCGTAAATAAATGATCTATAGTCACGCCATCCCCACCCCCACCCGACCACACCCATCGTGTCTGTGAGTACAAATTCTTTGCAGTTTGTCGCTAGCAAAAGAAACCACGTTTTATACCTAAAATTCGAAATAATCATGATTATACTGCCATGATCCAAAGTATCCAGTGTTCGTGTTTGGTGTTTAAGATTGTCTTGTTTGAAGTTTACATTCCATTAAAAAAGGTGTACAAGTTTTTTTTTTTTTTTTTTTTTTTTTTTTTTTTTTAAAAAAAGTTTTAAAATTTTTTTTTTTTTTTTTTTTTTTTTTTTTTTTTTTTTTTTGAAGCGAGACGTACGAAGGGACGGACCCAGAATTATTTGAATTGGGGTAGTTTTTTTTTTTTAAGGAATGACAGGCCTCCAACACGAAGCCTTGTCAAGAGCCCCGAAAAAAGGTGTTTTTGAGAGCAAACGGTGCCATTTGGTACGGTTTAGAACTAAGCTTCATCTAGTCATAATTCTTATTTCAAGAAGGGATACTGCTGTAATTTCTTTTCAGAAAACTAAGGGGGGACAAGACACCACCACTAAGTCCTCCACTGCGTACAAGTGGTCGGATAAAACCCTGCACCCTTTGATACGATTGACTGAAGACGTAGGTCCTTTGGGAAACATGATCAGGTACTATTCTTTAGACAGAAAAAGTAAGCTTTCTACCTACCAATATTAACAACCCGCATCATATCAGAGATGAACGCCTGCACATAGGGCAGGTGCGGCTTGTCTTGGAGAGAAGGGCGGCGGCCATTGTCAATCACCTGAAAAGAGGATTTGCCAATGTAAAACGGAAAGGCTCTTCAATCTTGACTTAATATTTTTGGCGTATTAATGCACTGTTTTTAAATCTTCGAAACGGGTCCCCTTTTGTTTTATTATTTGATAAATTCTTTCTGCTGCTGTGTAGTGTTCTGGTTTACGAATAAGACAATAAACCATGTTCTCTATCACCTGCATTATTTCTTTGTGCAATTCCCTCTGGATTTCTGGGTAGCACACCAAAAAGAGGATGGCCCAAGTAGTGGAGAGAGAAGTAGTTTCTGTCCCCGCAGAAAACAGATCCACTATGGCTCGAACCATGCTTTCATCTGGAGAAAAAAATAAATGTGCCATAATGACGGTACATTTATAATAAGGACTCGCCCAGGAAGCAATCAAGCCAGCAGGCCCAGTTTTGGTTCACACAGTTAAAGAGTGAACAAACTGGAGTTTTGTGGGCTTAGGGTGTACCCAAGGATTCTGTATGGGCCCCACGAGGACTACTCTTAAGGGCTATTTTCCAATGAAACTATCGTTCAACGTAGATCTACCCAACCTAGATTGCGGGGACTATAGTTGGATGCAATGAAATTGATAGATAAACATCCCTACTCCTGAAGAATAGAGAAAAGTTGGCGATTTTAAAAGTCCGTTGGAAACAAGAGGAGGCGTCCTTAACTACACGTGACTGACTGTAGAGAAAAATTGCTTTTCCGCAATAATGAAAAAATCATTTTGTCTTTGAATACTGTAAAATAATTCAGAGAGGTACACCTACATATATAATTCTTGGGCAAACCTGCCATAGTTGTATGGAGGCACCGGAACCTCGACGCCAAAATACCAAAGCCGTTCTCTACCACACTTCGAGCTCGGGGGTCCGGTAATTTAAAATTCTTGCTTCGTGGCTTAAAAATCGATTTGGGTAAGGCTTGATGATGGTGGGCTGCAGCGCAAAAGCATTGTCTCCTACGAAAAAAAAGGGGGTGTCCTGGTCATCATGGGGCAGAGGGTCATGGTCTGGAATTCCAAGGGGAATGGCTTCTATCTCCCTAGTCTGACATTGAACCACGGGCACCCACACCGACCCATATGAATTTATAGTCTGCGTCTACAACGCCCAAAACAACTATGGAAAAAATTCATTGTAGTTATAACACTAGATTCAATGGGCTTCTTCATTCAGACGTTCTTGGCTATGGCTCCAAGACAATGATGGAAGTTCCAACGTCTAGAAGAGCAATATGATGAAAATGTAGATCGTAGATTGAAGGACAAAAAACTAACAAGTCAAATCAAAATAAAACATTTAAAACGAAACTACGCATAGAACAAACCGCTAGCAAGGTATGTGTTAGGACGTGTCTCAGCCTATAGAAATGAACAGTACCGGTGAAACTTGACAGAGAGTCCCCCATGATAGGGAGTCCGCTTCCCATTTATTTATACAGGTGGCATCACCCTAGATTTTAACCCACCTAGGTAAGATTAACCCTAAACATTATAACTGCATGGAGGGCGGGCTTTCTGTTACACGGACCCTCAGTTTCGTTACACCGACAGATAAGTAACTGTGTAATTACGATTGGCTAAAAGTAATCGATAATCAAAGGAACAAGAGGAGACAGGATTGTGCCGGAAGTGACGTCTAGTGGTGTAAGACATGAAACTGAGTGGTCATTTGTATCTAGAGGTAAACGGGAGTGAAGACGTGGGCTCAGAGAAAAAGCGTTTTTCCAACAACACGGAAAGATAACGTTATTCACACGCTTACAACACTAGATGTCACTTCCGGCACCATCCTGTCTCCAATAGTCAAGTGGAGATTTGTATATGCGCGCACATAGCACTGGCTTAACGTTACCTTATTTGTATTGCAATTTTGTTTTGCTCTATAATTATCTCATCAGACTGTATATGCATTATTACGCCAGAAAATGATCCATTAGTTGTTGCATGACAAATGATACACAGGAGGCAGCAGGTAAATTTATTACTGTTCTTTTGTAATATTAAAACCGCACTGGTAGCGTATAGCCAATCTCTTTAAATATCCGAAATCTTATGAGAAATTGCCTTGAAAACCTTATACTGCAGTGTTGGCAAACAATCGTAGCGCATGTTTTTCGTGTAAGCTGAAAGCTGAAAGGAAAATTTCGGGCAGAAATTAGGCATGTGAAATCAGTTAGACTTGGGAGAGCCATCCTTGCAAGAAAAGATGTCGCATTCAAAAAAGATACTAAAGATATTTACGCTTTTGGTCTCATTATGTGTACTTTTTCTTGTCTCTGCTTTGACATGGTCTGCAATTCAGTCAAAACTTGGCGAGTTTAGATACGTGGCATTTGAAGAAACAAAATCAAGCATGAATATCAGTTCTCATGAGTATGAAGACAGTAAAAGAACAGTTCCTGGAAGAGATGGGAGCAACAAAGCAAATGGATCATACAGAAGAGAAGAGATTTCTTTTTCAAAGTTTTCAACAATCAAATGCTCCAATTTACCTGCGGTGTCTCCAGATATACCGCTAACCCAGCAGTGGATGCCTGTCATTCTCCCTTCGAATGATTCGCTAGATTATGTTTTCGCAGCATACCTCTACACCAATGATGGCAGACGACAGGTGGTAGTAACATCCATGACTTCTGAATACCACGTTCCATTTATTTGTCAGATTTGGGCCCGGTCTAAAGGTTCGGAAGGCAAAGTAACTCACCGGATTACACCCTGTTCAGGAAGAGCAGTCATGACTCCTAAGCTGTGAGTACATCTTACAATATCTTACAATTAACTCAAAGCAAGCAAATTAAGAGTATGTTGATATTAATTCTCATAACTAACGGAAAAAAA